CTTTTGAAAAATAATAGGTACTTAAACTGTACCACAATGAATCCTATTTATTTTATTCTGGGTGACAAAAGCCAAACTAGTCTGTGCAAGGCTAAAGAAAGGTATACAATTATATGTGTTCTTTTGTTTTAAGAACTTGACACAGAGATATTATTTGTTAAAAAAATGAATACGTTAGATAACATAATAATATAATTGGATCACAGTATTTATTTAGAAAAATACTAATTGTTTGTAATAACTCTCCTTATCTACCAAGTTATCAAATATCATCCCTTTTGTTTGGTGGTCATACATTGTCAGATTTTTTTTATGAGGATCTATGAAAGACTAGATGACTGGTCTTTCCAGCTTTGTTGGGATCACTTACACCATCCCAAAAATCTGCATTAATTTTGCACTGAGGTGACAGCTAGCAGACCTCTCTGAGCTGCCCTGCAGGAAGCTTAATCTGCCAAGTGTTTTTCTGCCCTAACAACATGTCAACCAGGAGAGTTTGCAGCATCAGTTGCATGAGCTACCAGTCAGAATCCTTGTTTCATTTTCAATTTAGGGCTACAAAAATGGCAACTGACAGCTTCTTGGTTGCTATGGACAGCAAGAATTTTTATCAGCTCCACTGTTTCTTATTCAATAACATCCTTAGACCCTCAGCCCCTCGACATGGTTGCATAGAAAGACAATTACTGCTATATATTGTGCTTTTTAATTATTCTTTTCTTCATCATTCTCAGAATACCTGCAGTGTAGAGCTTAACTTGTAACTGTACTAGTCACAGCCACTGCTTCTTATTTTCACTTATCTTGATTCTTAGTACATAAGCTATGCATTGCAGTGTTTTACTACAGCATGCATCATTTTGTCATGCTTTATAACCTTTTCATGTAATACAGTCTTTGACAGGCATTTGTAAATTATTAGCTAGTACTAGCTGTCAACAATTCTTATTATCACTTCTTCTGACTCTTTTTTAGTGTCACAGGGTGACTTGGCAGTTGTCACATAGATAGATAACAAGTGTTAGGCAGGGGCAATTTTAGGCTTTGTTTGTAATGAGGCTCAGAATATGGAGGGGATTAAAACAAAGGCATACTGTATAATGACATTATTATATTGTTTGTCAAATTCAGGCACACTAAGTGTGATTTACTGTAATGTGACAAATTGAACCTCTGTGCATGTCAAACATCCAATCATGTGCCAGGGGATATGAAAAATGAAGGCTTCAGTAGGTCAGAGGGGCCCTTTGCACAAACACTCATTTTGCTCTGAATGGGAAAGCTGCAAGTGTCTCTAAGTTGTTAAAATAATTAAAGCGTTGTCACAACTTGTCACAATATACCAGCCGTATTATTGTATTTTTGGTTTTTTTTTGGGCTCACAGAAATAAAATGACAGGACATATAAACTTTTTTAGAGTGATGAAAAGAATACATCAGGGGAGGGTTGTGTTGCTGAAGTTGGCTTATTGACTGATTTTAAAGTAAGCACCTCTGCAGCTAGTGATGCTGCTCTAGCCTCTAGCATTCACTATGCCAGACCTAGGGTAAATTCTGGTTGTGGGGGTTAGGGGGTAAGATTTTACAAATTAATTTCTGTGTACAATGTGTGTAAGCTAAGACTAAACATCCTCCCCAAACGCTGGCTGGGTAGGAAACAGATGTACCCTTTTTACCAAAAGTGTTGGGACACCCCTCCAAATCATTGAATTCAGGTGTTCCATGAAATGCCCTTGCTACTAAATATTCCACGGTCAACTATTAGTGGTATTATAACAAAGTGGAAGCAACTGGGAACAACAGCAACTCAGCCATGAAGTGGTAGGACACGTAAAATGACAGAGCGGGGTCAGCGCATAGTGCACGGAAGTCGCCAACTGTCTGCAGAGTCAATAGCCACAGACCTCCAAACTTCAATTCGGCACAACAACAGTGCGTAGAAAGCTTCATGGAATGGGTTTCTATGGCCGAGCAGCTGCATCCAAGCCTTACACCACCAAGTGCAATTAAAATTGTCGGATTCAGTGGTGTAAATCACGCCGCCACTGGACTCTAGAGAAGTGGAGATGTATTCTCTGGAGTGACAAATCACACTTCTCTGTCTGGCAATCCAATAGATGTGTCTGGGATTGGCGGTTGCCAAGAGAATGGTACTTGCCTGACTGCATTGTGCAAAGTGTAAAGTTTGGTGGAGGGGGGATTATGGTGCGGTGTTGTTTTTAAGGGGTTTGTCTTGGGCCCTTAGATCCAGTGAAAGGAACTCTTAAGGCATCAGCATAAGGCATTTTGGACAATTTCATGCTCCCAACCTTATGGGAGTAGTTTGGGAATGCCCCTACCTGTTCCAACATGACTGCGTACCAGTGCACACAGCAAGGTCCATAAAGACATGGATGAGCGAGTTTGGGGTAGAGGAACTTGACTGGCCTGCACAGAGTCCTGACCTCAACCCGATAGAACACCTTTGCGATGAATTAGAGCGGAGACTATGAGCCAGGCCTTCTCGTCCAACATCAGTAACTGACCTCACAAATGCGCTTATGGAAGAATGGTCAAACGTTCCCATAGACACGCTCCTAAACCTTGTGGACAGCCTTCCCAGAAGAGTTGAAGCTGTTATAGCGGCAAAGAGTGGGCCAACTCAGTATTGAACCCTACGGACTAAGACTTCGATGCCATTAAAGTTCATGTGCATGTAAAGGCGTCCCAATACTTTTGGCAATAAAGTGTATATGGAAAGTCATTCCCTTGTTAGTCAACTAAAATCTCAGAAGACCAATTTGCTGAAACGTTATCAAAGGACAGCAGGTTGTCCTTCGATAACATCATAATGACGAAATGCGTCATTATCTAAGGTTTGGAGCCTTTGTGTAGCAGCATTTAACCTATTAGTGCTAATAGTTTTTGTCCATTAGCGCAGATTATTATCATAATGTTTTAATACGCTGTGCATACTAGTACATTAAGGCAACCACCTCCAGAGTTCCATTTTTTATTATAACCACTTTACTTCCACTTTAAGGAAGATTTTGGAAGAGAACTCCTGGGCCTTGGTCTCACTAAGGGTCAGAACCTCTGCTCTATGCCTCCTGCACATTACACCACAATGCAGTATGTCACTGTGCGCTACTTAGTCAGGAGGGGGGCCCTGTCAGGTAGGGTGTAGGGGCTCCAAGATTTTTAATGGCGACCCTGCTACCATGTGTTACAGTGCAGAAGGTACGTTGCATTGCCATGTATTTCAATGGCACCCTAAGTGCACTTTTGGTCGCAATGCCCCTGACCGCACCGCAGTGTGCATTGCAATAGCGTACACTACATTTTTAGCTGCAGCACAATGCACAGTATTGTGGTCGCACGCATTGCAGCACAGTCAGGCACATTATGGCCGGAGTTGCACTTGGGGTGTGTTGCATGGTGGCATGCGTTAACTGCACAGAACCACACGATTAACGCAATGCTATGGTGTGACTGGGCCCTTAAACAGATCGCTTCCATCAGGAATCCACAAATTGTTGTTTTGTTTTTTTTAATCAACTCTAGACCTGATATATTCCCAGGCTTTTTACACTTGTGCCATTTTTCTTTTACATTTTATTGTGGTAAACTGAAGGTTATATTTAAAACACTGGTTGCTGCAGTTCAAGATGCCAGTGGAAAAGAAGTGTGGTGGCAGTGGATGCAGCAGATATAATACTAGTGCTACTGCCATTTGAAATCCAGGATGCCAAAAAATTTAGCTCCAGCAACAGAGGAGAGCAGACTGACAGACATCAGTGATGCACAAGAACTGTTGCCACTATCTCGCAACTTTCTAAGAGGGACATTTGTTCAAAATAGTAATCTCAGAATATTGGATACTGGGGGTTGATTTACCAAAGGAAAATAGAATGTTCAGTTTGCAAGGGAATCTTCACTTAGCTTAGTGAAAGAGGTACTGTTGACTTCCATCATCAAATCATGTGCAGGAATAAATACAGTTTTTTCTTGCACATGAATGGGTATTCTTTTCACCACATTCAATATGCTAAAGGAAATGTCCTTGCAAAGTGAAAGTTCTCTGGAAAAGTAAACAGCCTATTTATCTTTAGTAAATCAACTCCCATGACTCCTCCTTATATACAGTAAGCGTGTTCCCCCAACTTAGTACATTCTGTCAATCATCATCTTTGATAGGTCACACTTGTACCAAAGGAAGGTAAAAGTGAGCTCCATTTTACATGATTCATCAAAAAAGCACAGTGGTTGCTGAGAACATAACAAGTGTTCATGACTGCAAGGTTTTTCATTCTTCTCAGTTAGTGGCAGCTCATCAGGGAGGCCTCTTGTGTCCTGATTGCATTTAAAATTAGTAATTATGCTCAAGTACAAAATTAATAAACTCATCTTCATTTATACTGTATGCTGAAGACAGTTTGCACCTACCTCATGGAGTGCAGTGAGGAAAATGAAGAATTTCAAAGTATAATTCACAAGTTGCATGCCATACATAAAAATGTGGAGGGGACCAGGGGATCTTTCAACATCAAAGTATGCTGCTACAGCAGTAGGAAGAGCAGAAAGAGAACATGACTCTGCAACTGATGGATGAGAATTTTGCCCTATTTCTCACATGAGACATGGCGTGACATGGCAACAATATTGTGATGATACCTTGCAGAGTGAGGATGTCGTACTCGAGAATAGCAGATGTACAAATTTGCAAAGTGACAGGCACCTCATCAGTATTAAACAGGGAGATGCCTACTAAATATTCATGCCTTTGGATCCACACTACAAAAGCAAAACTGATACATTTTTGAAGGTTTGTCAAAGGGGGTTCTATTGTAAAACTACACGCTGTGGCCAACTCATCTAAACTCTCTCTTATGACTAAATGTCATTACCAATATAGAGCATGCTACACATTTATTATTGAAAACTGTTATTCTTCAACTTCTCTCATTATTGCAATTCTGTTTATTTTTCTAATGCATTGTTTTTTAAAATTTTATTTTCAGTGCTACTTTTTTACTATTGAATTTGGTCTTTGCAAACAAGATGGACAGCTACGTGTATATGGTGCAGGACTGCTATCTTCCATTGGGGAACTGAAAGTAAGTTTTGACCAACAAACGGTCCAGTAATATGGTGAACTGTTACATTGTTACCAACTCTCTCTGTGGACTACAACAGGGCTAAAAATTTCCACTGCCTGCTCGCATTTGGCGAGTAAAAATAAAGTTGAAATTTGGGTCTCCAAGTACCGGTCGGCGGGCCAACTCCGGCCCTCGAGCCGGTACTATGTGGCCCGCAGTGTGTGCGGACAGTGTGCGCTTGCATTCGTCTTCTGACCATGCCACCAACCTGCCAAAAATCGTACTATTTTCTGTAGGTTTTCCAGCGTGCTGGGAAGACGAAAATTGTACGACCTTACAGTAGAAGCGGTCGCCTGCCGATTATCGTACGATTGTGAGATCACCCGCGATTATCGTACGATAATTGGCAGGTGTATGGACACCTTTAGTGTATGTGTATATTAGGCCCCATTCGCACCTACAGTATGTTTCAGGTGTGATTAGAGATCCCTGTGTCAGGAACTCGCGTTTTCCTGCAGCAGGAATCCCTAATCTGCCATTTACAAGGGGCAACTATCATAAGATTATTTCAGAGGGTGTGTTTAGGGGCGGAGTTAAGGCCAGGGCAGGGTAAGGGTTAGGTGGGGCAACTGGTGGCTAGTAACTACCTTGGTGGTATCTGGTGGTGACCTGAAATCTCAGTTTATAGATTTTAAAACGCTGCACTTGACATTTGAAACTGATATGAACATATTGTAATGTTAATGTACATCATTCCTCAGTTTCTGTACAATAAAAATATGTATTTAAACTTTCCCATCATGTATTTTCAGTGACAGTGTTCCTGCTGTAAAGCATTCAGCGTCAATTTGCCTTCATTTGCAGTGGCGCTCTGACTGAGGAAATAATGCAGCTTATTTATTAAATGAAAATCTAAAGTTTATTTTAAAGGTGTTTCAAAAACAGCAACACACAGAAAATGAGAAAGAAAGATATATGATAAAATAAAGAAAAAGGAGAACAAAAAAGAAAAGGATAAAATAAAATAAATGATGTTGTTTGCAGCAGAAAGACTTCCAGATATAAAATAATGTTAAACTAGTGCTATTCCAAGTGACAAGAGCTGTTTATGACAATTTAGGAATTCCTCTGAAGGCAGACAGTAAATACACCATTATGTTGAAATCTTTTGTTATGTTGCAGGTACTGTCTTACGGGCATAGTGTAAATTAAAGTACTGGCTGAAAAACCTTGTGCAAGAGTTATCTAAAATCATTCTTAACCTGAGAGGTAAAAACATTGGAAGCTTGGTGCATTACCCTCAGGAAATAAAATCATAAATTCTAGCCTTTAGTAGTCAATCATTACAAAGTAGACAGTATCTTTCAAGCACCTAGTTATAGTAAAGATCTATAGTTCATAAAGAATAATCACCATTTTACAAGGCAACACGGCCCATTATCCAAGGAACAATATGGCACATATCACTGTTTAGTGACAGCGGTTTAGCTACAGCTATTCTATAATATAGAATTAAATAATCAGACTGAGGACAAATTCCAACACTGTCAACAGTGTTTCATTTATTTGTTGACCATAAAATGTAAAGTTATATTTCCAAGTAAAGGGAGGCTTTGACTGTAAAATGTCTGTGTACTAATATAGCAATTTGTAAATGTTCAATTCTATGCGAAATTTTATTTTTAGTCTCATGATTTCTGATTTCTCAGCAATTTAGATGCAAAAACAGTATATATAAGCTTACATATTCTGCTTTAAGTCTTTAATGTAGTATCCCGTGGAGAGGATTTTTTTATACTCCATATATGACACAAGTGGAGATGGCACCATCTGCATAGGTGATAAGCTGACAAAAGACAGCTGCATAAATTATAGATGATTGATGTTGTTTTATGGTTTGACTGCTGTTTCCTGAATGTACTAGCCATGTAAAAACATGATTTGTGTTAAAACAGACCATAGCTGATCTGTGTTTGGGGTGTTCATCAAAGCTGAACACCGGGCAGATCTATTACTACTTAAAATAAATATGTATTCTTTAAAAAATATTTGTTTTTATGCAGTTTGTATCATTTTTAATTATAATATTTATAATTTTTAGTATAATTGTATAATATTTATTTATTCTATTTTGAAAGTTGTATAATGCTGGTATTAACAGTACTTGGATGGGCCTTGTTACCTTTTAGTAAAGCTTACCCAAACAATTATTTGTTTACAATAATTAGTGCATGCTCGCTCGCGGGGGTGGGGACTTTCAATTTTTTTTATATGTTTAGATTTATTTTATAAAACTTTTTTTTTTACTTTACTGAATTGCTATCACATAGGGGGGCTTACAAGCCCCCTATGAGATAGAATACTAGTGGTGACAGGTTCTCTTTAGGGTGACATTAGTGGTCAAATAGACCCCTAATGTCACCTTTCCACTCCAAATAAGCTATTGGAGTGCAGATCATGCCCCAGTATCTTATTGCAATGACAGCTGAGGGACCGGAAGTGATGCAATTCCCATCACTTCTGGTCCCATAGAGTGGGAAGGAGATCGGCGAAGGCATGTTCAACAGTTTTCTTCCCTGCTTCCTGCCGACACCAGACATGCCGGTCCAAAGCCTGCAGGAGGGGCAGTAGAGCCCGGGAAGCAAGACGGGGGTGTCGGGCGCGGGGGCTGCACTTCACCGGCCTGTGGAAGCAATATGGTGGCAGCTCATCCGCCAGAATCACTTCCAGTGTAAAGCCGACACTAGGCTTTACCCATGTAAACAGAGTCCTGGCAGCTATAGTCTGTTTAAAGGGGGCCCGCTGCCATAGGATTTGTATTTCTGACTATAAGGTTCTGAAATTAACACAGCTCTGCCATGCCAAACATCCCTGTCTGGAAGACCAGGAGACCTAATTTTTCTCTGGTGCAGTGCAGTAACACTTACAGGCTTCCCCCACTCTCCCACCCTGTGAAAGGACAGTAAATAGAGAAGCAGTACACTGGTGAGCTCATCTCTCTGTCAGTCTGCTTTCTCCTTCTATTAGCATGTTCCTTCTACTACAGCACAACTGATTGGCTCAGTGTGCTGTATCTCCCTACCTCAGTCTAAACTTTTCTGTACAAGGACTGCAGAAACCTAATGTCAACTTAAATTCAGGTACTTACCCTGCTTGCATGTCAAATAAAATATGGACGTATTATTGAATACAGAGCTGCATTCATTTGCATCTTTCATTTTTGCCTGGAGTTTCACTTTAACTGGGTTAAACGGCGAATTAAAATATTTGCTTTGCGTTCAGCTTAAAGACCAGAATACACAGGTATGAGATCTATTATCTGGAATGCTTAACACTCTTTTTTGTTTAGCTCTGATTAAATATAATCAGTAATATGCAGAAAAATACTTGTTTAATATCCCAGATAACTCTGCCGATATTATGCTGTTCATCTGCTCTGCTCAGAATTATGCATAGTATATACATTTTATTGAACTCTTTTGCATGCACAACATTATTAATAACAATTAGAATTAATTGGTTACTTTTCCTTACACTTTTCTGGATTTACAATCATTCTATATCCAAATGTTTTGTACAGCTTTTTTTAATTTTTTATAATTAAGTGTTTAAATTTAAATTTTTACAACGTGTGCTTAAGTTATAAGAATGTAACCAAACCTACAGCAAATAACTTGTAAGAATTGTTTGCTTTTATTTCCTTAAGCACTGCTTAAAAAGGTGTGTTGTCTTTTCTTCTTACAGCATGCCTTGTCTGACAAAGCTACTGTGAAACCGTTTGATCCAAAGACAACTTGCTTGCAAGAATGTCTTATCACTACCTTTCAGGATTTGTACTTTGTGTCAGAAAGCTTTGATGAAGCCAAGGAAAAGATGAGGTACATTTAGTTGTTAAGAAAGAAAGACAGAAGCCAGAAAGAAAAAAAAAAAGTAGATCATTACTAGTGGTACTATTCTTACTTGCTTTTTTTTCTGCCTTTTAATTATTTAGAGAGTTTGCCAAGTCAATCAACCGTCCCTTCTCGGTTTACTTCAATCCTTATACCCAGAGTGTGGAAATCCTTAAGGACACCAGGAGCATTGAAAATGTTGTTCAAGACCTGCGAAGTGACCTAAACACAGTGTGCGATGCTTTAACAAAAATGAATAAATATTTGGGCATATGAGATTGGATCCCCGGAAATTCTCACTGGTTCCTCCCTTGGACTCCCACCCATTACTGGATGCAGTAGTGGTGTAGAGGTCAGCAGGTGGAGCCAGTTAGAGCTGCATGGGACCCAGGAGATTGACACTCCCAGAAGTGTTGCTTTCAACATGAGACCTCCATTGCTGGAGGCCTCCATTGCTGACCCCTCTTGACAATGCTAGTTGCTTGGCTGTCATGCTGACCTGACCCTTCTGCTTTTGAGTTATTAATGCAGAAGAAGTATGTAGGTAAAAATATCTGACTTGTCTCCAACTTTCCAGATCTACATACTTGTTCCAAAAGGTACTAAAGCCAATGTTTCAACATAATGGACAGGCAACAAACTTTTTTAAAGTAGGTCAGTAACGGCAGCCCCTTTTTCAATACATGCGTGCTAAAACATAATTTCTGTAGTGGGTAATGTTCTTTTCTGGTTCAATCGATATCTATATTATACCACATAAAATCAGCTTTAACTCTCTTTATATTTTAAAATCTGTGTAAAAAGAAATAACATTGCATTCACAGTATATTGAATTATATTTTTCTGTATAATACCATGGTGATTCAAATGATATAGTGTAAGTATTTTAATTTGTTTACCTTCCACATAGAATTTATTTCACATTGTTATTTAGTTCAGCAGTAACAGTCAAATCCTTACTCCCAGGCTTCTCCATCTCTCTCAATCAGGGTCCAAGTGAAAACAGCTGGAAAACCAATTTGAATAAAAATGCCTAGCCTGTATTTCTATTTACCAGCACATTAACAAAGACGTTCCCGCTTCTGTGCTAATGTTGGGAGACCAAACAAAAACATTTGTTTCTTCAGTCTGAAACTCAGGAAATATATGCACAGTATATTTGCTATAATTGCTTAAATAAGTGAGTCAATGTGAAGTGCTGATCTAGTTGTTCAATATCTGTAAAGACATTACTGATTAAGCTTGTTCTGACAGTGTAGAATCTTGTAAAGTAGAGAATGTACAAAGCTCACTTCATCCAGTCTGGAACACAAAACAGAACATTTAAGGTGATTGAGTTGGATTTTTTTTTTGCAATGCAGTTGCAGATTTAAATGAGGCTAAAAGTTGGAAGTGAGTCTTTAAAACAAAACTGTCACAGTACAAAAAAAGTTATCCTGTACTACATTGCGGGTAAATGCTGAATTCAAATATATATTTACTATTGTAAAATATTGTAATATTTTAAATTGATATTTCAGCTAAAATATTTTTATTTTGGATGAGGTTGAATGTGATATTTTAAATAAGGTTTAGAGTTAATACAAAACAAAAAAATTCCCAGCACACTTACTTGCTAGCCCGCAACAAAACAAATTACATTCTCTACCAATATGTGTTCAAAACAGAGGTTTTAGTTGTACAACATTTGCAAAATATGTGGAAACCACACTGCCTCGTCAATGCTCCTCTGTGTAGTGTGATCCTAACTCTAATCTATGAGAGCCTTCATATTGAAGCATATTTAGCAGTAGATAAATTGAATGCAAGTATGCCTAGAGGTGCCCCACTCCTCCTTAAGGGCCCAGTCACACCATATGCAGTGCGTTCCAGTGTGGTTCAAGCCAAGTCAGGCACCGTTCTGGGGTGGGAGGGGGTGTGTCGGTGCCATTCATGCCAATGAATGGCACCGACACAGACACGCCCCCACCCACAGTGTGATCGCCCGCATCGGAACGTGAGGTACAGGAATGCCCTCCATTCCAGTGCAGTGCGATCTGTAAAAATAGTGCATGTAGCATTTTTTTCAGATCGGAATTCAGTGGAACAGAACAGAGGGCATTCCTGTATCTTGCGTTCCGGTGTGGGCGATCCCACTGCGGGTGGGGGGTGTGTCTGCGGTGCCATTGACTTAAATGGCACCGACACCCCCTCTTGCCCCAGAATGCTGCCTGGCTTGATCTATGCGATCCAGTGCGTTCTGAGCTCAAACAGCACCAGAACACACTGGATATGGTGTGACTGGGCCCTAAAGGCACATGGACGCCCAGACATGGAGTTAACACAAGCAAACAGCTACAGATTGAATATATCTGAGGGAGCTGTTTACCTGCCATTCATACTTCTTTACATCCAGTTCCTTGATTTACCATGCTCTGTCACACACAGCCCTGTCTGGCAGGGCCGGGGACCTGATTTTTTTCTGCAACACTTATTGGATCCTTATTTTCCGTCTCCCTTGCCCACCCGTAGTGCTGCTGTATAGGGGATTGCAAGACACTAACACAAAGTGAAATTCAGGTATTTATACTGCTTGCCATTAAAAAAAATCTAATTAATACAGATCTGTATTTGTTGGGAACATTTTTTATTAATGCTTGGAGTGGGGTTTCTCCCGCACTGACAGGGTTGACTGCTCATTTTTGTCTAGGGTAGAAAAAAAATCAAAGTTATACTCACCTGATCCACTGAGCCAGCCGGCTATGATAGGGCTCCCTCCTGTCTGCCTTCTCCTCCACTTCAGCGATGGTATGTACCTTGGTGTCCTCACATCCTATACACACTGTGTTGAGTGTTACCCCAAATGAATAGATATGATTTACTATGTAAGCATTTACACCTACAAGTATTTAGTTATGAGGATTCAAGCATGGGATATTTGAGCTTACCACAACAACAGAAAATGTATTGGTATATAGTGATAAGACCTAAATAAAGTGAAACAACAATCTATTTATCTACCAAATGCAAAGAAAAATAATTAAGCATTTAATGACGTAATAACGGAATTACAGACAGTGGGATATATACCGTCAAACATAAATACGTATTTTTAGGAATACCTGTATAATTACTGATTACCTGTCATATGGTGGCCCCATTCTGGTGATCCTAAAGACTAATTTTTCCATTCATTGTTTGGACTGGTATAGTGCTTGCTCCCATAGACTTACTTGGAGTGGCAAGGATTGGTGGCCTCCAAGTACTAATCTAATCAATTTATAATAATCCTCTGTGGTTTGGATATTTTCAAATGCCCTTTGTTACCTGCATCCATTCCCCTTTCTATGCAAATTTTTAATGACCTAATTGTACAAGCCTTGGAGGGAAAATTACAAATTCCCACCTTATTACTTATTTAAATAAGGGGATGTTTTAAAGCAGTTAGTCAATGATAAAAGATAGTTTGCGCTCATTGTGCAGATAAGCAACCCTTAGCACCGACTTGTCTATGGACCCTATTGTTCTTGTCCTGACCATCTGAAATTTACAGGATACACCCGGGCAGATTAATAATTAAATTTGACATCCCTCTGTATTCAATCACCATGACAGGAAAGACACCTTTTGTATTACTCCCATTTAATCACTCAACATAGAATATATTTTATTACAAAAACCATATATTTCTGTTCATGGAGATTTTACATAAACCTTGTATGGTAACATTGAGATAAAGAAGAAGGAACCTAGAATTTGCTGCACATCTCTAACACAAAGCCATTTAGCATAGTTTGGTTATTTGGCTGCTGTTCCAGTTCAAATGGCTTCTTTCTTACTAAAAATCACTACATTCCATGTTAACAATGTAACACACACGGATGCAGATCAGAGTTGTAGCCAAGTGAACTGTAACCATGCATATTATTAATGCATATTTCTGCTGTTAATCTGAAGGCTATTAAAGCCCATCTAAAGCCTCTAGTCCTTTCAGAACTGTAACAGGCATTTTAAATGCAAGTTGTCATGTTAGATGTCTTAAAAAATGTAATGTATCTTTTTAACAATCAATACAGCTAGGAAGCTGGCTTTCTCCTTCACCCTGCTAGACAGTGTTGGAGTGGGTAGGAGGAACTGAGCACATCTTTTATATAATTTCTATAAGCTTCCGCAATTAGAGTAATGTGATGTCACTCTAACAGACTGTGGGCAGAGTTAGTTGAAGCTTTTCACTATTGGGGCAGTTTCAGTATCTCAGCAGCTGAATAGTGACAATGCTGCAGTAATTTCACTACAGAAGGAAGAATGTTGTCAACCTATAAATACAATTGCCTTTCTTGTGGTTCTACTGGTAAAATCAAGTTATTTACAAAATGTTCCAGGAGGTGCTTAGAAAATCCAGCGTTAGTGCTATGGACAGCCCGCATCACATATGTGATAGTTTGACCATAGTCCCACTATAATAGTCCCACACTGCAGATGTACATGCCTGTAGCTTTTCAGTCAGCACCTGGCCACACCTAGTTCCACCCATTGCTTTTTACTTTCTGGAATGACAGCACTGTATCTACTGCTAAAACCTTCCCACTGTGGTTTTAGCAGTAGATATGCGCACACAACGCAAGAGCAAAATTGTATATTGCATATATGCGCATATATGCGTGTATGCAAACCCAGAATGCATCATTCTTAATAGAAATTTTAATGCACTGCACGTACGTGCGCGCACACATGCGTATATATGCGTGTACGCGCATAAAATACGCAGAAATACGGGGCCTGGACGCATCTCGTGTTCATTTTTTTGCGTATCTTTAGGCAACACAAATATACGGCTCCATACGCAGCTATGTGTATGGAGCCATTTATTTGCATATGGGAAAATACGCTGTGCGCATCTATACGCAGTGTATTGTACGGCAGTGTGAATGAGGACTTACAGTTGTTTAAAGAGGGAGCTTGTCGGGCACAAATAAAGGAGGATTTGCCTCAGTCAGGGTAGGTAAAAGGTGTTTGCTACTAAATGGGGTTTGTTCATCACATAGTAACTGGATTTGGTACATATTTAGATTGTCCTATGGGAGACTTTAGTTTTACATTCCCTTCAGGTTTAAATGTGCCTTTAATTTTTAAAAAATGTAGCGTTGTGCTGACATTTACCCAGTAAATTGTATAGCTTATAATTTTAATGTTAAAGAAGATGTAATATCGGGGGGAGGTGGGGGGGAATAATTAATCTCAAACCAAAGATGACAAAGTCTACAATTAACTTATGTTGTTTGTACATTTTGAATTACTC